AGGGCAAGGGGTGCTGCGGGGCCTAGCCAAACTGCGGGCGGTACAGCGGGCGGCGAACTGACGGATGCCACGCAGCGGTTGATCGCACGATACGCTCAGGAGTTCTTAATAGAACGTTGGAGTTTGTGTGAGCTGGGTACCCCACGAGAGGAGGATGCACTAGATTATTGTGCACAGAATAGTGCTCGATGGCCCATAGTGGCGTGGGTGGCCCGGCACTCATTGTGTGTGCCGGTTGGAAGTGGTTCATCAGAACGGGGCTTCTCGGTATCCGGCCATACTGTGCGATCTCGGCGGGCATCTCTGGGGGACGAACGCATTGAGCAGCTAATGTTTTTGTCCGGCAACACTGACTTGTAAATTACAAGTTGTAATTTTCCGGGTTCTATTGGCTTGTCTCGACTTGGCCTATGGCTCAGTGTGTGACTTGTTTTAATTTGGCTATATGCCCAGCTTGTACATTGGGCAATGTGCATGTTGCCTTTGCTGCAAGTCAGGTGTCCCTATGAAGATGTGTCTCCTGGCCCTGAATCCGGCCTTATGAATGCCTCCGCAACTTGCACTGGTCTGCCAGTGCCCCCCCCCCACTCGTAAGACCTCCAATTCGCATGGTCCGTTCCTGGGGAACGGACAGGAACGGACCTGAACGGACAAGGACGGGGCCGTTCCATATCAAGAACGGGGCCGTTCCTGAGCCAGGACGGATCCGTCCCTGGGCAGGAACGGATCCATTCCGACACCGTTCCGGCCTGGCCCAAATCCGGTCCAAATCCGTTCCTGGGGAACGGCCCAGGAACGGACTGGAACGGACTGGGACGGACTGGGACGGGAACGGGGACGGGTCCGTTCCCGGGACGGGGACGGACACCGTTCCCGTTCCTATGCCATTTGGCCGGGCCCAGCTGGAGTCCAGCCGTGATGTCCCCCACTATAGCGCTGGCTACCACCAGCCCGCCGCATGCACCCCAGCCAGCAGCTGCTTCATTAGCCGGCCCTCCAGGGTCTTCTCCCCACTCTCCGGTGCGCTCCTACACCTCACCCCTCATGTGAACCCAAGACGCTCCACCGGCAATTGCCAATCCAGGAAGCGGTCCTCTCTCCCCTCTCTAACAACCGTGTGGCTGCCGAGTGGTCAACCCTGGCCGCGGCCTCTCTTCACCAATTGACGTGCTCTATTTGGCGCGAGGTCCCAGCATCAAAACCACTATTAATTCTTGTTCAGTCAATCGGTCCCTCGTAGCACGCAAACGGGAGTGGAGAGTCCGCGTCCCAATCTCCCTTGCTCTCCCCCGTCATGCCAAGAGCAGGCATTCGTTATAGGACAGAACTCTTATAATACAAGACAGAATCCAAAACCTCGTTCGTTGGTTCGAGAACCGCCAGCATAGGTGGCAGCCCCACGTTCCTAATGCTCCCCCTTTATTTAAGCGGAATTGATGTTAGTGAATGAAGTTAACTCGGGTTTAGGCCGTTGGGTGGGAATGTGTCACGAGGTGTGAGAATTGGAGGTTGCCCTGCCGCCCAAACCCAATAGGGTACGGCGGCACTCTGTCAGCCACACCTTGTGAGGGGCTGCGCCCACGTCCGAGGTCAGTACCTTTAGGGTGCAGTGTGAATCAGACCAGGAGTGGGGTGTCCACCGGTCAGGCAGACCTTGGACACTAGTACGAGGTCTGGCAATACCTTGGACCGGTTGGCGGCACGGATACAAAGGTGGGGCGAAAGAACTGTAGCTATCTTTGCTTTCGCTCCCACCCACCACAACCCAATAAATTGTCGCTTGACAAGAATGTAAAGGAGAGACTTGGCAAACTGGTGAGGGTCACATGTGACCCACGTACAATGGCCCTGTTAGGGCTTTTTTTTTTAATTCCAATATATTACATCAAAAGATAAACAAAGGATCTCCCCCACAAAGCGTAAAGTGTACAAAGATCCTTTTCCAGCAGAAGCCGATGCAGGAACATAATCAGGAGATGAGAAGAGCATGAAGGTTCGTAGAAACATAATGTTCCTGTGGGGGAGTCCTCAGCACCAATGTGAAAAGTCATGTCAGATAGTGTGCATCATGTAATGTCCCAAATATCCCAGAGTGTGCAGAAACGTCCCCCAATGTACCCCATGTCCGTTGCTCAGTCTGATTCCCAGCATCGATCATAACCCTGGCGAGACAAAGAAACAACCTCTCTCAATGTTCAGTACATGCACGTCGAGTGGCCCGTAGAAACCTGGCCAAGAAGGGGCGACCATGTCCAGAGAGAAACTCCCAAGTCCAATCACCATGTCCACATGTCAAGTGTTGGATCTCACTGGTTAGCTGCTGCCGCAAAAAAGCAAAACGTGGGCAATTGAAAAGTCGGTGGTTTCTGTCATCAAGAGGATGGTGACACCATGTGCAATGGGGGTCATCGATCAAGGTGGAAGCGATGGAGATATGCATTAGTAGGATAGTGGCCCGTGAGGAACTGAGCCACTAGAGACACATCGCGGCGTGAGAGGTCTTGGGTCCAACTCAAAGAGCGTGAAAACCGAGGCATGACTGCGTATAGCTGGCGACCACAAACAGAAGTACGCCACAATGCCTCAAGGCGAGAGACATAGTGCTGACGAATTGAGGTTTTCAATGTCCGATGTGGGACAGAGATGAGCTCAAATTGGTCAGGATCAGTGGCCGCCTGATGAGCTATAAAGTCTGCAGCATCATGTTCACTAATGCCGATGTGTCCAGGGATCCACCATAGTCGAAGGCAAGAATTGTAGGCATGTAAGTTCAACAAGGCTTGGCGAGTGGAAATTGCAATTTGGTGGCCACCTTGTCGACACTGTATGGCTTGTAAGGCAGACATGGGGTCACAGACAATAGTGCACCGACGAAAGGGGGCAAATTGTGGTGCATGACGACAGGCGAGGAGTAGGGCAATCAATTCCGCGTGTGTGCTGGAATGATAGCCCATGAAGCGTACAGCAGTCGAATGACCAATGGTGTCTGTGCCTCTGAAAAAGACAGCAGATGAGCCACATGAGTGCGTATGGGGATGAGGAGTTAGTGACCCATCTGTGAATATCCAAAGGTGGTCAGGTGTAGAAGCAGCGCATGCATGGCGGACACAATCCAATGCCGTTTCCCTATCAAAGAGAGAGGGGGAAAGGCAAGAATCATCAAAAGTGGGGTCAGTGTACCACCAAGAGCGCTTTTCAACATTTTGAAGAATGTGGAGTGGAAGGTGAGTGGGAAGGGCTGCGAGTTCAGATTGAAGAATATCAACTGGCGCCATCGTGTTGTTGACTCCATGTGTGCAAGGAGTCAACTGAAGCATATCATGCCCGTAGGTCAGGTGTCGAAGGTAGAACTCAACAAGATGCTGTCGAATATATAAATCAGCGGGCATGAAGCCAGCAATAAATCGAGCGGCATCATGTGATGTCGTCCGATAGAGGCCCATAATAGCGATGGCTGCTTGGCGAAGTACAGCATTGATGGGAGCTAACTTGGATGGAAAATGAACCATAGATGACCAAGCGGGAGATGCATAGAACAGAATGGGGAGGATCGTCGCCTCTATCATGCGTCGGGCGATGATCGGATGAAAACCCCATGTGGTGGCCATACCCCAATATAAACGTTGGAGCTTGGTCTTGGCCTTCTGTACTATGTATCTAATATGTGTGTCCCAAGATAACTTTGAGTCCACCATAACGCCCAGATAACGCATCGAGGGGACACACTCAAGAGGAGTGCCTCCAAGAGAGAATGAGTATGGAGGGGCTCGAACACGCCCTATGATCATGAATTTGCATTTGTCGATGCCAAATGTAGCTTTCCAACAATATGCCCAATGGGTGAGTGTGCGTGCTACCTGTGGTCCCAAAGCATCTCTAGAGGAATCACGAGGGAGCCGCCAGTAAACAGACACGTCATCTGCATATGCTTGTGAAGATACTCCCGGAATGACAGAGAGATCTTCAAGCAAGTCTTGGATATAGATCAGGAAAAGGATTGGTGACAATGGGGATCCTTGAGGTACACCCATAAAAAGATGAGGGGTGAGAAAAGCAGATCCCACTTGAAATTGAGCAGAGCGGTTGGTTAGAAACGATGCAATCCAACCGACAAGAGGGGCAGAGACGTGAAGGCGGATCAATTTGTGAAGGAGGCCGGTGTGCCAGACTCGATCATAAGCACCCTGAATGTCAAGTTTGAGTGCCATAAGTCGATTACGAGTCTTGAGCGCAGTGGTGGCAGCTGAAACAAAATTCCATAAGGCCCATTCTGTGGCACGGGCCTTTCGGAAGCCGAATTGATGAGGAGAAAGGAGGGAATTCCGTTCAAGGTAGTGGGTCAATCGCCTCGTGACTATATGCTCAAGTGCCTTAGAGATGCATAGAAGTAAGCTGATAGGGCGAAAGCCCTTAGGGACTGACAGATCCGCACTTGGTTTGGGCACAGCTACAACGGTTGCAATTTTCCAGATAGGAGGAACATAGCGAAGACGAAGTGAGGCAGTATAGAGAGCCAAAAGATGTGGCCTGAGGATGTCCTCACATTGACGCAAAGCCATCAATGGAATGTGGTCTGGCCCAGGGGCTTTCCAAGGAGAAGAGGCGAAAAGTGCCTCGTGGAGCTCAATTGGTGTAATAGGCTCTGCATCAATCTGACGAGTATCCCGGAGAAAAGAACGAACATTGGATGCAACTTGAAGATGAAAATCGTCATCAGGAGGAGCGGTGGTGGGAAAGAATCGATGAGCCAATGCCTCTGCTTTCCCTTGGTCATCCGTGATATGATGGCCATCCACAATCAATTCTTGGATCTCCTGTTAGGGCTTAGGACTGTGTGAAAAGTGTGTGTGTGTTTGAGTGGAATGACGGTGACTTTGACTGCGTGCGGAACACGGGTTGGGTTCAGGCCACCCGGGAGTTAATGATCCTCCAATTCCCACAGCTTCCTCCGACCGCAACAGCCGCCCACCAGCATTTAAAGGGACCCGGCTGGAACCCAGCCAAACGAAGCAGCTCCTGTGGCTGAGTCCTCCGTGCCGTTGCCAGCCCCTTCAGTCGCCGGTTTGAAGCTCCTGGCCCTGTCTCGGCACAGGTCGGTTGGAAGCAAGGTCCTCGGCCCCTTGGCGCGCCCGCAAGGGCGAACGCCGTTGGAATCTGCGACCGTCATGGCAGGGTACTACAATTCCTGGCAGGCGATGGGTAAGCGAAGTAGCAGGAAAATCGACCGCGGCAGTGCGCGGCACCACCAATGGCCCTAAATTGGAGTGTGCAAAACTGCCCGGGTTGCGAGTCTCTGTTTGTGCGGTTTAGGGGCGGTGCGTGGCGCCCCTGCGCAAATTATGAGAATCCGCCCTGCCAGATCGTGTTCGCAGATGGGAGAAAAAGACGGCGCACGGTGCTGGATGAGCGGGAACCACTTGCGCGGGGTGCCCTGCGGTTTGCGAAACCTAGGGGCCGTGTGGCAGGCTCCGCGAGGAGCACTCCGGAACGCAGGAATTTGCGTTGCCAGTGGGCCGTTCCCAGCGTGTTTCGCTTCAGGGGTGTGTCCATCGCCCGATTTTATGGCGATCGCGTGGAGCACTGTTTTGGGCATGTTAAGGGAGATGAAAGACTGTTGCGTGGAGATTACGCGAGGAGCACAACGGCGCAACGCCCCGTGACGGGCGTGTTGGGTGCTGCTAGCTGGCCAGTTCGCGTCGCAAGGTTGCCGTGTTTGGCACGGAAATGCTTGCCCAACTGCAAATCCAACTGGATCGTTCTGATTGTGAAAACCGCCGTCGGTGCCGCTCCCGGCGGCGGATTGTTGTGTATGCAACTCGGAGAGACTCAATCCGCGAACAGCTGTCCACGATAGGGATTCACTGCTCCAAAAGTTGGCATCGTGTCGTGGGGTTTTGTTCCTTGCGGTTTCAAAAACCTTGGATTCCATTTGCCACTGCTGCTGGAAAGGGTGCCTCTTTCCCCTGAAGAGTTGGATCCTGGGCAGCCGCCAAACTTCTTGATCTTGAAGCTCTTTCTGATGCAACGAGGCCATTTATTTGAACGCATTCACAGTTAATGTGATTCACAGCTTTGGAAAAAAGCTGGGAGATACAAATTTGCGTTTCCAAATTGTGAGCTTCCAACGGGAACAAGTCTCTGAAAAGTGCGATTGGCCCTGCTGCACTCCCTTGTATGGATGGACGAAGGAGGTGCTGGGTATGATGCAACTGTTACTTTAGTGCTTCGGCTGATGGCAAGCTGAGAGAAAGGACAGAAGAGTTTGCAAGTGTGGGGGGCTAACCAACATCATAATGTCAGCAAACGATGGTGCCTGGTCCATCCTGAGCTTGAAAGGAGTTTTTCTGTGCCCACACACACCACCCCAATGGTAACAGAACAAATAGCTGGGGCGATTCCACAGCTTGGTCCAGGGTTTCTTCAGGTCACAAGTCCCGTACGAAGTAGTTGAAGTTGTCAAACTACAGAAAGAACCACATCTGGCAATCCTGCAACACCATGAAAATCTAGCACATGGTGTACGGCAACTGCAAATCATCAGCCCCTTCATTCACTCCTCGTTGTACTCCTTGCTTCAGATCATTCAAGACCACAGTCTACACTGTATGGAAGCCAAAACATCGGTATGTTACTCTTTGCATCGGGTCGCTTTGGGAAGGGGTCTAGTTCAGTCATCGTACAGCAAAGACAGACAGACAGCCTGAGTGCAACATAGTTCTACCACCAGATGTGGTAATCATGCACCATGCTTCAGGTGTTGATGCACCAGACACTGTGCTACTTGTTTGATTGTTCAAAAATGACGATAGCAGTGCCCCTGCAACAGGCTGTGCACAACCAGTGGTCGAATTAGACACCGCACCTTTGGGTGTTCCATGTTGTAGCGTTTTTTGTGCACACATGGCATGTCGATTGATTATGATCTCTGCTTTGCTTGTGTCTGTGGAGCATCAGCTGTCGGCCATTCACCTCGACTGAGAGTTAGACACAACCAGAAGCAGGAACATCTTGTCCATGGCACATCGATAATGTGGACTTGCGGGGTGTGACGGCTGGTTTGTGTGTCTGCAAAGGCCTGCAACAGCCTGGACGGCCACCTGAAATGAGGCCATACAATCAGCACTTTGTCCTGCAGCCCAGGGAGCAGCATGTGCTGGACAACAAGGTCAAGGCAGTGTTCATGGGTCTGGGTTGGGATGCTGGCTGTGATGTCGATGGCAGTGTTGCCCTCTTCAACAAGAATCGCAAGGCTGTGGAAGCCGTCTGGTGGAACAACCTAAAGAGTAGCAATGGTGCTGTGCAGCACTCAGGCGATGACAGGACAGGAGAGGGGGCTGGCGACGATGAGGTCATTAATGTGGACTTAGACAAGCTTCCATTGGATATACACTACCTTGTTTTCAATGTCTGTGTCTTCACTGGCGGGATGAGTTTTGCACAGGTGGGTTGCAGGGTGTGAAGATGGTCCCATCTGGTGGACAGGGGCATGCAATGGCACATGTCCGGACCTTGTGTTGTTCACTTTCTGTTGTTTGGCACTCAGTCATGAATTCGGAATTGTGGCTGACTCAAGCACCATGGATATTACACAACAGCAAGCACCACAGAGTTTATGTGTCCTTGGAAAATACTGTATCTGTATGTTGGCACACCAAGAAAGGGAACACACTTGGATGGTCTAGTCAGATGTCTTGCGGAATGGTGGATTTATACTATCCACTTCTGAAGTCCATTGTTTTCAATCTGTGCCAGCAACATAGCCCTACTTGAAGAAGAGATGCTATCATGGATCTTCCCATCCTCTGCCTGTTGCAGCTCACATGAAATGCCTGACCTGCTGCCTGAATTCACACAATTCCCCATGTTGCCAGAGCTCCCAGTTCCGTTGTTTCTTATGTTATGGTTTGCATGGTCGACCTAACAATATATGCCAAACACTGAGCACTTGTGTCTCCATAGCCGATGCAGCAGCAGGCCACAGGTCTTCTGGACGTTGTCCTTGGACGCTTGCATTCCCGTAGATTGCCGTTAGCAGCTGCGCATGGTGCAAATGCCATCCCACAGCATCGAATGCCACATCAACAAACTGCCTCTTTGCTGCTGCTGTTGTTGTTGTTGTTATTATCATATTGATTGAGTTCAAGCAACAAAATGCTGAAAACTGGCCTGTGTCAAAAGCCTCCTTGCGTCTATCTTGGAGCTTCAACCCCTAGTGAAGCCTGAATTGTCCATAGAATGACTGCATGTTTATATTAGAAACGCAATGCAAGCCGCATGAACACCAAAGAAAACTGTGGAGAGAAAGAGGAGGCTGCTATCCTGCTAGTGTGTCTTCTGCAGCTTCAAGTGTCTGACAATGCTCTTCTGTGTCTGCCATTTTTAGGTACGTTCAGCCTATGTGCGGATGGTCAGTGCCAATCCCAGCCACAAGAACCACGAGATGGCTCGCTACAACTTGACTGGCCTCCAGGGCACCGCGATGCTGCTCGGCATGCTGACTCGACAGGGCGCCTATTGGACTTTCACTGCCCTTGGGACCCCCGCTACTGGCCGCACCATCCAGGAGGTCATTAAGGACACTGCAGCTATGAGTGCGATTCTGTCCCTGTGCCCATCACGTGACCCTGGCGTTCGCCATATCACGCTGAGGGTGTTGAAGGGGAGGAATCTTGTGGCCAAGGATCGTGGCGGCCTCTTCAAGAAGAAGAGCACATCGGATCCGTTTGTGAAGGTGGGCAGCACTGGTTCCATCGCAGGAGCAGGTCTGTTTGATAGTTGCACAGATTGGCTACTCTGGGTGCCTGCCCTGCCCTGTGGACGCAACCATGCAAGTCCAGAATGAGGTGGGGCTTGTGTTATTCAGTGCATGGGAATGGGAGAGGATAGGAAGCAACCAGTGAACTTCCCACAAAGGTGCTGGGATTTTTTTCGGCTCATGTGGGCAGTCCTGGCAGCAAGCTTTCGATCAGTTTAACACCGAATTGGTTTTAACAACAACAATATCTGTTGGGTGTGGCTTCTCAGATGTCTGTCTAAGTGCCTCAATGCACTGTGCAGATCAAATATAAGCGTTTGAAGCTCCAGTCTGATGTCATTCCCAAGACCTTGGACCCTGTGTGGACCACCCTCAAGCCATTGGACCTTGGCAACGTTATGGAGTCCGAATCGAAAGCTGTGAAGATGACAGTCTGGGACTACGACAAGTTGTCAGGAAAAGACTTCATGGGGGCATTGCGCCTTCCTGCTGCCGCCCTCTATGCCCGTGGACCGGGCCGCCATGAGTGGTGGGTCGAACTGACAAGGGGCAAGAAGAGCAAATACCAGAACAGCAAGGTGTCGGGTGACATTTTTGTGGAGTGCACCATTGAGGATGTGCATATCCCTGAGCAGACTGGAATGCCACCACCTGTGATGCCACCTCAGGGCCAGGGCTACCCACCTGCGGCTCAGCCAGGGGGTCCCAGCGGCTACCCTCCCGTGCCCCAGGGGCCCCCCGGTGGCTACGCTGCCCCTCCTCAAGGTGGGCCAGGTTATGGCTACCCTGGGCCGCCCCAAGGAAGGCCTGGTGGATACCCTGGATACCCACCTGCTGGTGGATACCCTCCGCCAGGTGCATACCCACCTGCTGGTGGATACCCCGGTGGTTACCCTGGAGCAGCTACTCCACAAGGGCCCTCCGGTGGTTACCATGGACCCGCTGCTCCCCAAGGGGCCCCCGGTGCTTACTCAACAGCCCACCAGGCAGGTCCTGATGGCCACCGCATCGCGGAACCGCAGGGGGCATCTGGGGGGTACTCTGGAGAGGCACAAGGGGAATCTGGTGGTAACCCTGCGGCTTCGCAAGCAGGTTATGCTGGGGCGCCCCCAACTGGTTACCCAACAGGCACCCGAGATCTTAGCGACCACCCCACAGCAGCCCAGGGCGGCCCTGCTGGCTACCCTGCTCACGGTGGACCTGCGGAGTATTCCCCTGCACCGCCCGGCCCACGGGGGGGCTACCCACAGTGGTCTCCGCAATCTCAGGGCAGTCGCTACCCAAGCACACCACCGCAACAGACACCCCATGCGCCTTACCCAGGCTCTGGCCAGATGCCGCAACAGGGGTCTGCTCCTGGTGGATACCCAGGTGTTCCTGCGAGCGTGGGAGCTTCAGCCCCACCCTACCCCCCGTCAAGCTCACCACAGGTGCCAGGGGGAGGTGCATGGCCGCCTCCTCATGGTGGAGGTCAGGCAGGGGCTGGTGCCTACCCGGAATACCCCGGCTACCCTGGCCATCCAGGTGCTTACTGGAATCGCCCTTCCGGTGGCGCACAATGATGTGTTTTGTTTTGCGAGGATGTTGGGGTGGCTGGTTGGGTTGATGGGTTGGTTGTCGAGGTCGACCTTCTGTTGCGTGGTGATGCTTGTGGTTACAGAGGCTAGGATATATGCTGCAGTACAGGGTACAGGACGGCTGTTGAATGGGTGTCAACTTGGGGCACCATCGTTTTCAGGGAGATGTGCTCATACTATTGACGGAATTGGCACATACTATGGGTACTATTAGGGGAGAGTGAAGTTGCCGTGGGCAACCAGTTTGCATTTGGGTGGCTGGCTAGGGTGGGCACCGAGCGCTGAAAGGGGCAAATCTGGGGTGGCAGTACGGTGGCCAATGAACGATTTGAAATGTCTCATGGGTGCACGATGTTGACACAAAGTCTGCATTTGGGATACACAGTGCTTCGTTTCGGTGAGACCGTGCTTGCTATGGGCGATGATTAGAAAACTTCTGTCAGGCAGATTGCAAAGTCATCCTCAGGTCCGAAATTTTGCGTGGACAAGGATCCTTACAGCAGTGCATAAAGGTTGATTGACTGCACCCAGTTGTTTAGACCCCAAAGCTTGCAGCAGATATATTTAGGCCTATGTGTAATGAGAGAATTGAGAGTTGTAGACGCACACAGCAAACTGGTGCTTGAAGTTGTTGTCAAAACTGTAGTTCGAGAGACTGCAGTATTGCTTTATCTAGGCAACAGTGCGCAGCCACCTGGATCATGCCTGCAGAGCCTGGAAATCGTTGGTGGGGGATTGAAGCTTTACTTTGGCTGTGTTGGCGACTCCCAATAAACCGTTGTCCAGTTCAATTTGATGGAGGTGAAGGTGGTGGTGGAAAGGTGTTGTGAGGGGTGACACCACAACGATTTTGTCCTGTTCAGGGGGATGACATTAGGGCAGCTTTGTTGCACTGAGGGACTGCAATAAGCCTGTTTCCGTACAGTTTGCACCAAATTGTCGCCAAGCCCACAGAGCTCCATTTGTCGATGCTGCCATGGCCCAACAACAGTAGTTAGGGAAGATACTAATCTAAATTTTGTGCACTTACCACGCTAGTTAGCGCTCAGGAGACCCCAAGCTCAGGCTTCCGCCCACGCCCACCCCACCTTGCATCAATTTGGCTTTAAGCGTACGTTTGAGTTCCCACAAAATGGCCAACATTTGTTGGCCATATTTTTGTTTTGGTCCTGAATGAGGGCGCTGGCCGTGTGCCTCAAGGCGACATTGGACGGGGTCTGTGATGGCTTCGTTTTCTAGTGCATTACTAAGAATGGTGCTTAGGGCTATCACGGTGGTCGCCAGCATCAGGGTGGCTGATGGAGCAGCAGTTTTGTGGCATCACATGAGGCTGGCATTGTTGTGGGTTTTGATGGGCTGATGGCATGGAGGGAGCAGGCGAACCGTGGGGTACAACATGATGAAGCACGAGGTGCAGCGCGATGAAGCGCACGGTGCAAAGTGATGTGCAGCGGGGTGCAAGGCAATGAGTTGCAAGGCGCGAAGTTATGGGTCATGGGTTGCGATGCGTAGTGATCTGGGGTGAGAAGTGATAGAGAACGGCAGACAGACATTCTGGTTGAGTGATGCACAGAGGGCGCAGTCAGTGGGCGAGACACGCATTCCAACAAGGACATCGCTACACCAGAAGCCGATGTTTAAGTTCTAACCCTCGGGACACGCCCCTAGGGGTGGTTTTAAAAAAATCAACGCTCCAAAGCCAAGGAAAAGGCATCAAATGGGAGAAAAAGAAAGAAATGAACCACCGCCCATAGGTGCAGCACATCAGCACTCCCTCCTACAAGAGTGTGCTCTTTTAACCACGGCAGTGAGAGCGAACGAAAAGATAACCTTGTGGATCTGAGCATCAAAGGTCTACTAACACCAACCCAAGGCAATGACCGTAACCTACCCGGTGACACCCGGCCGGTGTGAAGACAAACTATAACATGCGCCAAATGGATTCGGTGTGCTGAACACAATTTCCCTTCATTCCGCATGTGTCCCTACACTACCACCCATCCCGAATAGTATTGTGGGCCTTTATTACTCCTTAGTAGAACCCACACCTATGATGTTCACTGACTCAGCGCGTGTGCTCCTCTAGGACCTCTGGAGCATTACTGAAGTTCGCTTCTGGCTCTTGGGTAGCCTCCGCCAAAGGGTATTCTTTCCACAAAACAGGGTAATGCCTCCGTGCACCTTGCTCCTATGGCATGAAATCCCCTTTGCCTCATACTCCAAGACCCCTTCCACCAACTCAGGAGGCGGTGGATCAAACTTCTGTATGAAAATCATCCAACCACAAGTGCCTCTTTAGGTTACTGAGATGGAAAGTGGGGTAGATCCTCTATCCCTGGGGAAGATCCAACTTGTACACCACCAGAGACACGACTCTATTAACAACAAAGGGTCCCACCCGTATGCGACGAAGCTTGAGTGGCCAATGAGCATCCAAATTCTTCAAAGGCTTGGTCGACAGTACAACCTCGTCACCTTCAACAAATGTCTCCTCTCTGCATGCCTGATCCATTGCTCACTTCATGCTTCTTGAACATTCTGGATATTCTAACTCAGTTTCGTGCAAAATGTCGGTAAGGGGGTCACGGAAAACAATGGAACATGCATTTTGCGCACATGCAGAATGCAAGAAACACACCACAACAACGAACTTACGCACAAACATGGCATTTTTTGGGTCACACCACCGACGGGAAAACCACGATGTTGCGCACAAAAGAAATTGAATTGGCCCTTGCCAAGGACACTTACAACCACCTCACTACCAGGCTATGCGACCCACAAGTCGTGGGTGCAGCATGGCCTTGCAACCTATTACAATTGTTGTCACACACACAACGGGAATTACAAGTTCCCGCGTCTAGAAATGGCCCTCCCCCGTCTAACACATTTCATCCCAACGCTCTAGCTCCGCTTGGAGACGCCGTTTGTACTGGGGGTGGATGCACCCCTTCCCAGCTCCATTGGCCTCTAACCAAATGTAGCAAATGACGTTGTCGGAGGACACCTCCCCCCATATTTGCCGCCCTTCCACCCAGCGCCCATTCAGTTGGGCATCGTCTAAGGCGTCAAAACGGAGGCTCCCCAAGTTGTAGGGGGGGCTGGGCTTGAAATCGCTTTCATAATACGCAACGGTGACTACTCTCTTCACCACGGGCCCACACCCCTCTCCGGCCCTGCCCCCCTTCACAATCGCGATGTCAAAGCGCCGGCCCCACTCCTTGGCGTCGGCATCGGACATGGCGATGGCCACCTGGTGGCCAACCTCTATGTCCCGTGCAGCGTCGAAGGGGATGTACTCTCTGTCGTTGGGGAGCACGGAGAGGTGCCCGAACAGCAGTGGGCGCTCCCCGGGCAACGGGCCAATGTCCCTACAGAGAGAACCGATGGCGTCGCTGGTGAGGGCACCATGGCAGCAGGGGGGGGGACCATGGCGGGCGGACGGAATGCTGCATACCAGTGCGCTCCTACCTTGCGGTGGGTGGAGCAGGAACGTTGGAGGCGGTGGTGGGCGTGGTCTCGGGCGCAGTGGAGGGGGCGGCCAGCAAGATGGGGGACAAGCTATCCAGCCGCAAGGCGGCCCCCTCGTCGATGGCGAACGTGGGTCTGCCACTCCCGTCCAAAGGGAATGTGCACTCGTGAGAGGCAATGAAGCCCTCCCACCAGCGCACGGCCCCGGCTATCCGGCGGAGCTTGCGCTGTTTGATGTCCTCTGCGGCGGTGGGGTCCCCACACACGTCGAGTTGGCGCCTCCACCTGGCGAGCTTCATGAGGACCCTCTTCTTGACGTCGTCAAAGTCTTGAAGTGCCGCTCGTGGCTCCCAACGCAGGTCGGCAAACCTCGGGGCGGGTTTACCAGGGACGAACACCGGCCACCCGTGGCCGTCAGGCGTGCCCACCCAGGGGTAGTCCTCACTGTCGTGTTCGCGGGCGTACACGACGGAATTTCCCCTCCGGGCAACGAATTTGAACGGAGAAATGGCTTTTTGCCCGAAGAGGAGCACGCAATGAAGCACTGCATCCAGCCCGAGAAACGCCCGCTGTAGTCAGCGCCGTGCCGCTTTGAGGACCAAGCCGCGGAAGCGCACGAAGAATCGAACGCAAATCAAAGCTAGCCCGGAACGCCACGGGGACCTAAAGGCTTGCGCGCATGGCTAAATCTCCCAGGCGGATGCCAGCCCGACCTTGATTACGGAACACACCCGCGGTGGGAAGGACAAGGATGGTGCGGTTGGTGGGTTTGAAAATAGGGGACCAGCCCACCCCGCAACGAAGACGTGCAGTGCTTCCCAGGAAAGGGGGAAGCAAAATTGGGCGACGGCGCCAAGATCCAATCCACAATTGCAGCCACGCGCAAGAGCAAACGGGGAAGAAAACAGCACAGCATGGCCTGCATCCAGGCGGTGGAAGGAACCCCGGAACCACGGCCACAAGCAAGGCAACAACTTTGAGTTTGCGCGCGCGACGCGCGCGAACGTAGGCAAATCCCACAGTCGACACGGGGCGGGTCAGCAGAGGTCGCCCAGGCCGGTCGCCGCAGCTGCACCTCCTGTTGTCCCTCCCAGTTCCAAGGCCTCTGAAGGTGTGCATCCGGACGCCCGCATCCCCATCCTCGGCGTCATCCTCCTCCTCCTCGACACCCCACCGGCGGTCGCGCTTGTACCTAAGGAGGCGCCTGAAGTCGGCCACGCGGTCCACCCTTGTGTTCACCTTCCGCAAACTCCCCACGCTTGCGTGTCCCCCCCACGCCCGCTGCACCACCCTCATCAAGTCCCCCAGGCACAGCGCCCCCTCACGGTTGATGGCGGATGCCACCAAGCTGAAGGTGGCGTCTATCTCCTGGTGCGTGTGGCCTACGGGCAAAAAAAAGACGCGCACCTCCCTGAACACCCGCTCTCCCACCAACATGGCGCAGAACCCGAGGAGGTAGTGGTTCTTGTTGTCCTTTGCCGTGTTGTCCATCTGGACGTGCAGCACGGGGGGCA